CAGTAGCAAAAAGAGTGCGAGTGTTGTTTAAGTTACTGTTTATAAGGTTTGAGAAGAATGACTGTGTAGCTTTGCCTAGTTCCACATTGAAAGCATGAAGGCTGTCTTTATAGATGCTGTAGTGAATTTCAAGTTTCGTCTTTCACCACATCCACTCAGCTTTTCTGCATTGTCTTTTCATACTCTGTACTATTGTTGATTTTCTCCAGGGTGCTTTTTGTCTGCCACTCTTCTTACTGATTATATTAAAGATATAGCCTTCATAAATAGCACTCTAGTGTTCTCGTTAATGCATCTCTATCTGACAGAGACAGATCTAGATTCAGTGGTAGCAGAGATCAATATATCAAAGAAAATACAGAAGTGATCAGATAGTGCTACGTCCTTAATAACAATAGATGAAATGTTCAGACCCCTACTGATGAGTAAATCTAGAGTGTGTCCTCGATTGTGTGTGGGTCCATGCACATGCTGAATCAGGTCTGAATTCTTTTGTAGTTTTGATTTCTGCATTATCTATGTGAATATTAAAATCCCCTGCAAAACCGTCAAACTCTGAGGAAATCATTGATAACAGTTCTGTGAACTCTTCAACAAAGGCTGGAGAGTATTTTGGAGGCCTGTAAATAATGATAAATAGAATGCGTGGAGCACCTTTCAGCACAATCCCTAGATATTAAAAAGACAAGTACTGACTAAATGACGCTTGCATTGATAGACATCTTTAAATGGAGCAGCTACACCGCCACCTCTCCTAACAGTCCTGCAGACACTTATAAAAGTAAAGTTAGGAGGGGCTGTTTCATTGAGGACTGTTGCACTGCAGCTGTCTTCTAGCCATGTTTCGTTTAGAAACATAAAATCCAGGTTGTTTGTGGTGATTAAGTCATTGATCACAAATGATTTATTTTTTAGTGAGCGAATGTTTAAAAATGCTAACTTGACGGCATTACTTTTTGTCTCTACAGAAATCTTAGTTTGATGCATAATAGGCCGCAGATTAGATGGGTCAGCCATATGGCTTGAGAAGGCTTTAGACTTTCTATTACGTGACAGAACAGAAATGTGACCCTGGACCACAAAACCAGTCATAAGGGTCAATTTTTCTAAATTGAGATTTATACATCATCTGAAAGCTGAATAATTAGCTTTCCATTGATGTATGATTTGTTAGGATAGGACAATATTTGGCCGAGATACAACTATTTGAATATCTGGAATCTGAAAGAGCAAAAAAAAATCAAAATATTGAGAAAATCACCTTTAAAGTTGTCCAAATGAAGTTCTTAGCAATGCATATTTCTAATCAAAAAATAATTTTTTATATATTTACAGTAGGAAATTTACAAAATATCTTCATTGAACATGATCTTTACTTAATATCCTAATGATTTTTGGCATAAAAGAAAAATTTTGAATTTTGACCCATACAATGTATTTTTGGCTATTGCTACAAATATACCCCAGCGACTTAAGATGTGATCCAGGGTCACAAATAGGGAAAGCTACAGGCACACTGGGTTCCCGCTTGTTCTGTAAACATTTGTGAATGCTGTTGCTATCTTAGCGGGGACCCGACACATATCACTGAGAGCTGCTGAAAAAAATAAAATAAAATAAAATAATACAGACATAAGTGAAATGCAGGACACTTCTTATGTCTTGCAGGATGCAGGACAAAGTTCCCAATTTCAGGACTGTCCTGCATTTTGCCTAGTGTATTTTGGCCTTGGTTGACTAGTGATGCTGCTGTATGGACTTGCTACTGCCAATAGATAAACAGACACCCTGCTCTGAACATGTAAGATATGCTGGTGATGCATAAATAGGCATATATATATCTCAAAGCAGATCTAAACAGGTGGAGCTGGGGAGGTGGAGGGGAAGGGTTTCAGAGGAACTGCAGAACCAGCAAACACTAAACCAGACTATTTCAGACACACTCTCTCTCCCCCTCTCTCTCTCTCTATATATATAATCTGTCAATGAACTGCCTACTACTGCACATGTAATGTAGTGAACTTTATTAGAAAGTAGTGGAGAGCACTGATGAACTGGACCTGTTCTCGTAGCTGCCTGCTGGCTGGCACATGGAGTTGGACTGGAGGGAATCCCAAGAAAGACTGCTCTATTCCCCCTGGGGAATTCTAAATGGAGTGGCATTCATCCATTCATTTCAGACGAAGGGCCCCAGGCAACATTATGTTGCTTTGGTTTATCCCAGAATGATTGGTCATTGCCTCCTCCTTATGGTAGCTTCCAAGCAACCCCCTCCTCCTCGTGCTCTGCCGACAGTAGCTCAGCATCGCTTGAAACAAAGACACGAAAATGACAGATACATCAGTAATCTTGGCCACTGTATCCTCGTATAATTGTGCTCTAGTTTTCCTGACTGTGGAAAGAGAGAGGCAACTGATCCCCCAGGAAGCAATGAATGGAACTCAACAATGCAGGAATGCAAGCCTGTGTGTGTGTGTGTGTGCACCAGACAGTGTGTGTTTTTGTTGGTGTGTACATGTCTGTGTTTGAGTGAACAACGGGAGCGAGATTTGGAAGCCGATTTCCAGTTCCTATAGCAACCATGATGTAAGCGCAGAGGGGCAACTGCGCCCCATTTCTCTCTATCTCTCCCCCCTCACTCTCCCTTTCTCTCCCTCTCCCCCTCGAAAAACAGACAGCCCAGCACACAGGAAACCCGGGTGTGGAAGATAGGGAAGTCATCCTCATTTTGCTGGAATATAAGCCATTTTTTCTTGTATTTATTTTCTTTTTTTTTAAATGTTTTTAAGATTTGCAAGCCATTCAGTAACATGTACGTTTCAATCTTGGGAGAGAAAGGTCTGCTTGTCATGTCTGCCAAGAAAATCATTTAGTGCCAGAGGCTGTGGCAATTGGTGTATGGCTGTTCTCAGATGAAGTCCCTGTAGAGAGCGCCTTTGTGAACTTTATTGCTTTTGGATTTTTTGGAAAGGATAAAACTGTAAGTAATTTTAAAACTTTGTCATATGTAAAATATGTCATGCTTAAATATTGCACTTCTAGTAAAATATCTCAAATGTTTTATGTGATGTTACATTTTATATTTATTAAAAGCAGTTTTTCTTTATTAGAATAAATATGATTTAATGTTATTCTTTTGTGCTATTCTAACACCAAATTTAAAATTTTATTAAAAATTGTTAACTCATTCAAACTTTGCTGGTCTGCAGTTTATGCATCATGCTAACTATAAAATAAGTTATTATCCCAGATATATTTCACACCTAACTTTTCAGGCTCACAGAAGTAAGTCTGCTTTAATAAAAGTTGACAAGTTTAAACGTTTAATAATCTAAATGTAGTTTTTAGTTCATGTTTGTATCATTCTGGGAACAAGAAAACATTGTTAAAGGGGTCATATGATGCGATTTAAATTTTTCCTTTCTCTTTGAAGTGTTACAAGCTCTTGGTGCATAAAAAAGATCTGTAAAGTTGCAAAGACTAAAGTCTCAAATCCAAAGAGATATTCTTTATAAAAGTTAAGTCAACCACGCCTACCTAAAACGGCTCATTCTAACACGGCCCCACATGTCTACGTCACGATGTGGGAAGATTTGCATAACGCGTTGTGAAAGCGAAACTACTTTGTTTGGCCTTCCAAAAGAGGACGATATCCGCTTCGTCATGCCTGGAGATGATCCGTGCTGGTCGCTGAGGGAATACATCAACTTGACGCTGTCGATCGCCGGATCGGCTTTCACCACGGACGAAGCAGAGTCCAGCCCGGGGTCGTCACATGTGGTTGCCGCAAGCCCGCCCGCTGCGCCGTTCTCAAGCCCACCGGCCGCCCGCGCTCACTCTAGACCCCGGCCCCTGCTCACTCTAGGCCTCCAGCCTTCACTCACTCTAGCCCGCCGTGTGTGACGCTGTGTTTCGTTGTGAAAGCGAAACTACTTTGTTTGGCCTTCCAAAAGAAGACACGACTAGAAATCAGTGGTTAAGTTGTATTTAAAACACTGTTCCAGAACA